TGTTCTGGCAGAGCTCGGCCACGGCCGGGGACGCCGAACCCGACGCGCTACCCAGCGCGGCCGCCGCCATGCCTGAGCGCCCGCGGCCGTCACCGCCCCTCGCACGCCGTGGGCCGCACTGAGCAGGCGCCTCAGCGCGCCCGGGCCCCTGCAGCGACGCTCGGGCGGAGGGGCTGTGGGAACGCGAGGGTGGGAGGGGGGACGTGGCGGGACGGAGGGCGTGGCCAGACCGCGAGGGGCGTGGCCAGGCCGCGTGGGCCAGGGCTCCTCCTAGAGAGGCGGGACTGGGGTCTGGGCTGTGGATCCCGGTGGGCGGGCGACGTGGCAAGCCGGTGTTGGTGCTGGTGCTGGTTGCTGGTGCACGCGTGGTGGCATCACGGGTTCCCCGCCACTTTCCTTCCCCACAAATAAGCAGTGTTACAGCTTTTCCTTCATCACGTGGTCAAAAACAATAGCGTGGCCAAAGCCCTGCTCGGTTATTTTACCAGTCCCAGGAGCTGCGCTGGAGCGCCCTTTCAAGGTCCGATTACACTGTGGGCTGGTTAATGGTAGATCAAGTCTCTGGAATTTGTCTGCCTAGGCTGGTTTCAAACTTTAACCCTCAGATCTCCACCTCCTAAGTAGCTAGGGTTATAGAAACAAGCCGCACCAGCACCCAGCACTCTTACATCTTCTCCCTACCTCGTTATCTGTTTGCTTCCAACATCTCTGAACAAGTTCACCCAGTTACTAGCCATTTGCCAAATCTAAGTTTGTAGTATTTTGGACCAATTTGAAGAATATTGCGGAAATTGGAGTCATGGCTCAAGTGGAAGAGCCTCAGCTATGAGCAAAGTAGCCAAATGGGAATGAAGAGCAAAAGAACCTGAGTTCAAGCCTCAGTATGGGCACCAGAAAGAGAGAGGGAGAGGGAGGAGTAAGGGAGAGGGAGGGAGAAGGGAGAGAGAAAAAGGAAGGAAGCAAGGAATGAAAGAAGGGAAGGAGAAAGAAAAGAAGAATGTCATGTTCGTTTGGTAATGTGTTAATAGCTACTGAAACCAATCATTTTCAATAATTAAATGCCTAGTAGCATTTTTCTGACTTACATAACATTTTAATTCAGGGACCTTAGTCAGTGGCTACAGAAGTCAACTGTAGAAGATTAGATGTTTTAGATTCTATAAGAAAAAAAGTTTTGAGCACGATCTTTTTGGATACCAGTATTTAGAAGAGTATTAAGGAAACTTATGTAATGAGGGACTTTGTTTCACTGTTTTCTTACCCTCCCTTCTTCACTTGAGTCATGTTGAAGCTTTTGATTCTTCAGTTTCCTTTAGAAAACTTAGGAATATTAAGTTATTCTCGACCTCTCTATACTCATTGGTTCAACTATAGTATGATTTGCTCCTAAATCAGCAGTAGATTTTCTATTATTTCACTTGATTTTTTTTCCTTGTTCCAACATAATGGTATTTTCCCAGAATTCCCACTTCATTAAGTACATCTTTAATATTGAAACATGATGGCCCTATTCTTATAAAATAAGTTGCGCACTACATTTTTACCAGGATCTCTTAAGTCATTTAAAAAGAAAAAAGAAAATGTTAACCTCAATAATGACTAGAGCAAATAGAAAAAAAATATGGAAGCCATTTAGGGATTGGTGTGGTAATTCACTATTGTTTGATTAAATGATTAACAATATTGTGTCTGCTTTATGTAAAGTGGTCTGAAAGGACATGAGAGACTCTGAATCTGTAGGGAAAACAAAAATAATGATATTAACATATCCAGATAGTTCTTCCACTGGTAAATAGGTGTTGGTTTAAAAACAATCACTTGCTAAGAAACAGTCAAAACAGTGACTGTATACTAGCTGATGTAATGGCATAAAGGCATGCATGTGTTCATCCGTTCCATAATTCATTCTTTCATCAAATATTTATGAAGTGATTATGTCTAGGCACTATGAGTAGTGAAGGAGATAAGCATGCTCCTCCCTTTTGTGCAAGTCATGAATTTTTTAGAACAGCTATATCAGCCTCAACAGGAAACTTGTCAGCAAAGATTCTTAAGCTCCATCTTGAGAGGTGAGGCTCAGCAGTTTGTGTAGTAGGAAGCCCATTCAGGTGATTTCAATACACAGTCAAGTTTAAGAACTCCAGAAGGAGGAGTTTATGGAAGTGGGAGAATTTGACCAGAATCCTTCAACTGAGAGATTAAGAAGGTTAAGGAAAAGAGACACTTCTGTGAAAGAACCCAAAAACATTTAATCACAAACGATCCTAGCAAGGTTTCCTTCTCAACCTTTCCTGCCTCCTGCCTCCTGCCTCCTGGTCAGTGCCTTAGTTCAGGTCCTAATCATATTTTTCTCAGCCTTACTCTTCCCTGTGTCCATTCCCACACCTTTCCTATTTACCCTGTATACTACCAAAGTTGGGATCGTATCTAGAGCACTCATCTATCTGAGCATGTGTTTTCTATGGCTCCCTCACCCATCTATCTGAGCATGTGTTTTCTATGGCTCCCACGTCCACATTCTAAAGTCAAATGGTGTTAGGATCCAAGAAGGTAACTTAATTCTATGAAGTAGCTTGTTCAAGACAGAAGTAGGAAAGACTGATGAAAGCAATTAATTTATCAGGTCCTTTCCAGGGGAGTTTAGAGTCAGTAAAAGATTTTATTCTCCAAATTAGACCAGAACTGCTAGCATATATTATTTAGACTACAGGATCAAATCTAAAGGCCTTGGTATAACAGCCAAATCTTTCATGATCTTCCCCCAACCCCTACTCTTATGCTTTTACTTTTTTGTCCCATATCAAACTTGACATTGGCCATGTTGAAACTTTATGTTTCCAGGTCTCTTTTCTCTTCCTAATCCTGGATGTCCTTCCCCAGTTAGTTTACTAAATCAGGAGGTACAAGTTTCTAAAATGCAATTCAAGAGTCACTTCCTTGAAACCTTTCCTGACTTAAGAGTAAGGCCACACTGATTCCTTATCACCTTGGTGCTACAATGATATACTAATTTTTACTGTTTTTTCTTCAATAACATTTGTTTCAGTAGGCTATATATATATTAGTTTCCATGGCTATCTCCCTCTGTTACACTATGAACTTTTTTGGTACTCTACTTTTCAGCATGAAGTGGGAGAAACATGAATATTTGTTGAAAATACATGACAAATATAGAGATACGAAAAATTATAGTCCGTCAAGATACAGTGAGCCTGGTGTGCAGCTCGGTGTTAGAGTACTTGTCTCTTGTGTTTGAGAAGTGGTTTGGGTTTGATTCCAGCATCACATTAAAAAAAAAAAAGTGAGGTCAGTTTGCTGTGTAGAAAGTGTGTTTGATAGAAAATGGTAGCTATATTTGAATAGATAGTTTTGAATTCAATTACCAAAGATTTAAGGTAAACTTAAGTTTTAACAGGAGCTTATAATAAAATGGAACCAATTTAGTGATTTGGGTTCAAGAAAACCCCATGGCACTGTAGCAAGCACTAAGGTATTAACTAATGTAAATTATTAGAATATCATAAAATCTATGATACTTTCAAACTGGATGTAAGATCAGAGGTAGAAATAAAAATGATGTTTTTTTTAACCTTTTCTACCAGATGTTATCATTTTTTGTAATATTGGAAAAAATACATTTGTAATATTAGAAAAAAACACATGAAAACTTTCATGAGTTCAGTTTCAAAGAAAATTTTAGAAGCCTTTATAACATATTGTACAGCAATAAAAAAAAAAAAGAGGAGATCTTAGGTACTTTTCAGCCATCACAATTTATTATATAACTATATGTCTTTAATTCTTAATGGAACTCTATTTTCCCTGAATAAGGTTCATGGATCAATGATGACTCAAGGTCAAACTGGGCTTTCCCAAACTGTTTTAGACAAACTAAATTTCCAAACTCATTTAAATCCTGGATCAACTAGAAAAAAGCTAAAGGAAAATATTTGTACTTAGAAATAATGGTTTTAAAAGGTATTACCTAGAAAGAAAAATGAAGGGTATAGGAACCTTCTAGTCATATTCATGTTTCATTATATGATCAGTCCTTTAACTAAAGACTGAAACTCACACTGAAGATAGCTGAACAGCGAATAGTCTACAAATACCACCTTGCTTATTACTTTCTGCCTTTAAAATTTATATTTTCCCCTGACATATCCACAGCCAGCTCTGAGCAACTATCATGAATAAATTCATGTCTTTGGAAACAGTTGTCTCCATTTTCTTGTTTCCATTCCTGTCAAACAGTGGGTATGGTCTTTTGAGCACGACCCTACCTGAGGTAAACAAATGAGTAAAACACTTTATTACAAAGTGATTATAGTATTAAAATGTTAAGAAAAGATAAGGGAGAAGAATCACAATCGCATATCTTTGCAGATTTTTAAAATAATTCGTATGTGTTACCTTGTAACTTTTATCTCCTCACTAGCACTCCACGTACTTGCGTACTAATTTTCACCTACAAAAAATATTTTTTAAAGTCTTAAAAAAATAATTGAAATGATTGCATGGTATTTGGAAAACACCAAAACATTACACAACCAACTTCCTGAGGATTGGTACTTGGGTTAGTTCTGCTTTTCTCCCTACCATAAATAAACTTTGCGGCTACAAGTCATTTCCCTTCGGGGTTTCAGAATACTATGGAGCCCTTCTTTGACAAAGTAAGAACAGGTGGGCATTGTCCTGCCCAAAGAAGAAAACCAATGCTCTTTGGGGTGGGCCAAGACTGTGTCACCGCCTTGCGTGCAGGTGCTAGTGTTTGCGAGCTACTGCGGGGGGGGGGGGGGTCTTGCTAAGGGTCCCTGCGTCATCGGTCCATCTGACCTTGAACAAGGTCAAGCCGCGCTGAAGACAACAGGCTGAAGGGCGCTCGGACGCGAGGTGTGCGTTCCTGACGTGTGCGTGCGTGCGGGGGCGGGGGCGTGCTTGTGCGCATGTGCACGCTGCGTCTGCCTGGAGGGCTCTGGTCGCGCAGAGGCGCTGTCTCGGTTACAGGTACCAGCCGGGCCGAGCTCCCCTGCTTCCATCGCTCCAGCCCCAGATCGGGTTGTCTGAGGCCCAGAATCAATCCTTGTGGTCTGCCCTTGTTTCTTGTTAGTTTCATCTGCCCTAGTTCCTTGGTGTGTGAGTGTGAGGCGGCGTGGGGAAAGGCCGCATTCCCCGCCCCTGTCGGCCTGCTGTGCGGTGGTTTCCCCGCCTGCTCCTTTTCCGGATTACCCCTTAGGAGAGGTGGAGTAGCTCCTTTTCTCCCCTGAAAGCTTCAGTTTCAGATTCACAGGTCTCCAGACCCTAGGTTTCTTAGTCCTGGATGACCTTTCTAAAAGGTTGTTGATCTTTGGTATGAAATAGAAAGTCCACCCGCTCCACCTCTGTAACGTGTTTGCTGTGTCATCCACACTAGAAATACCATTTAGAGTAAATCCCCTGAAACCCTGGGGGGGGGGGGGGGAGGAGGGAATATTCCCTGCTGGCTATATCAGGTTTTGGGGTACCTGGCTAGTTTTAATTACACAATTCTTGTTTAAAGAAATAGTTATCAGCTCACCTTGACTTTGAATGTCTGAGGGCAGTTACAATCTTGAAAATGGATTGATTATTAAGGCCCAATGGTTTGATAAGATATAATTTAAGATTATCTCATATATTTATATGTTTGTGTCTCTGTCTCTCTCTCCTTTGCATTTTTGTTCCTTTGTTTGTCCTGGGGATTGAACTCTGCACTCTTCATTCAGCTCAAGGCAAGCGCTCTACCGCTTGAACCAATGTGCCAATTCTGGTTTTCTGGTGGTTAATTGGATATAAGAATCTCATGGACTTTCCTGCCTCAGGCTGGCTTCAAACCGCAGCCCCTCAGATCTCAGCCTCCTGAGTAGCTAGGATTACAGGCATAAACCACTGGTTCCTGGCATATTATTTTCTCTGAGCTCATTAACAGCTCACATTAGTCATCTCCCCAAAGGAACCACCTCGTTTGGTCTTATACCCTTATGCTATTTAAACAATATTTCCTGTCTGTTGTCTGTTACAGGAATATGTTTCTGGCTATCTGAATCTCAACCATGTTGTCAAACTGCTTACAGAATCTCCTAAATATTACAAGCACGCATCTATTTTCAAGATCATGCCAAGGAATAATAAGACATAAAAGGTTTCTTGGAACGGTGCAAACATCCAAAATCCGGAGGCGAGTTGTCATTACAGGCATTGGCTTAGTGACTCCCCTTGGTGTGGGAACTCAGTTAGTGTGGGATGCTCTTCTCCGTGGAGAAAGTGGAATTGGTTCACTGCTTGGTGAAGAGTATAAGAGTATCCCTTGTAGTGTTGCTGCTTGTGTGCCAAGAGGTCTTGATGAAGGTCAGTTCAATGAACAAAATTTTGTGTCCAAATCAGATATCAAGTCCATGTCTTCTCCCACCATCATGGCCATTGGGGCAGCAGAGTTAGCCCTGAAAGACTCCGGCTGGCATCCTCAATCAGAAGTGGATCAAGTGGCTACTGGTGTTGCAATTGGCATGGGCATGGTTCCTCTTGAAATTGTTTCCGAAATTGCTTTTATGTTTGAGACAAAAGGTTATAATAAAGTCAGTCCATTCTTTGTCCCTAAGATTCTGATCAATATGGCAGCAGGTCAGGTCAGCATTCGATATAAACTCAAGGGCCCCAATCATGCAGTATCCACAGCCTGTACTACAGGCGCTCATGCTGTGGGAGATTCTTACAGATTTATAGCCTATGGGGATGCTGATGTGATGGTGGCAGGAGGTACAGATTCTTGCATTAGTCCTCTGTCTCTTGCGGGGTTTTCCAGGGCCCGGGCTCTGAGCACAAACTCAGACCCTAAGTTGGCTTGTCGACCATTTCATCCGAAGAGAGATGGTTTTGTAATGGGAGAAGGTGCTGCTGTGTTGGTGCTGGAAGAACATGAACATGCTGTTCAAAGGAAGGCTCGGATCTATGCAGAAGTTCTGGGCTATGGACTTTCAGGTGATGCTGGTCATATAACTGCCCCTGATCCTGAAGGAGACGGTGCCTTAAGGTAAAGAATATTTGTTTCTTTCAAAATGGTTTTTCCTACATGATATTAGAGTCTCAGATTATTAAAGAAAACTGTAATAATTGGTTTAGGGATATAATACATGGTTTTTTTGTTTTAGACTACACAAAATTTTATTTTTAAACTTTTTGCTTGAAATGTTTGAGAACAATTGACTTATGATACTAGAGTTTGAACTCAGGGCCTTGAGGCTTGCTAAGCAAAGCAGACACTCTGCCACTTGAGCTACTCTCCCAGCTAAGACTCTATATTTCTAACAAGTTGGTAGGTGATGGTGATGGTGCTTGGCTAAAGACTACATCTTGAATAGCACATTAATTATTGTTTTAGAAAAAATAACTAATGAGCTAAATTTTTTTAAAAAACTCCTTGATAATTTAGTATGCTAGTTAATAGCTTAGCTTTCTTAGATCAAATTATGTTTTACCCAGATTGATCAGCCAGGAATTAACAAATTTTTCTGTAAAGTGACAAATAGTATTGTTTTGGGCTTTGTGCTTATAGGATTACTCAACCATGCCATTGTAGTGTGAAGGCGGCCATGGACAACAGTAGGAAATGAGTGAGTGCAGATGTGTTCCAGGAAAAGTACTATATTCATAAAAGCAGGCATTTGAACAGAACCATAATACTTTCTGAATTAGTGAGCACTTGCTGGGCTAGTCATGTCAATCATAGTAACAAGTTATATGCAGAAATAGATACGTTTAGGGGATACCTTTTTAAGAAAATACTCTTTTATTATCTTTAAATAATTGTACAAAGGAGTTGTCAATCAACAAAGCGGTTTATGAATACAGTACATCTGGATCAATGTAGGGGTGGCCTCTTAACACACTTCATAATCTGAGCTATCTATCCAAAGAAAAGGAACTAAAGAAAAGATGTTGACATCTACATTTCTCAAGGTTCTTCCAAAGACTTTTTAAAAATTAGATTGGTTTCGTATTTGGCTTTATAATTCTGTACTTAAAATGCTTGTAGCTTTAGAGAGGACTTTGAAAGGCTATTTAAAGCATTGATGCTACTTGGTTGTTGGAAAATGTACCAGGTAGTCCAGAGGGCTGGAGCATGGCTTGGTGGCAGAGTGCCTGTTGAACAGCTCAAGACCCTGAATTCAAACCCCAGTATTGAGAAAAGATTTGAATTTAAACATAAAAGAAAACAAAATTAAACCTTTCTCTATATTTCCATTCCTGCCCAAAAGAAATTCTTACAAGGAAAATTAGTCACATATTTTTCCCCCCAAGGAAAAATATCATTTCAGATGAATGGAATTACATTTGATTTGGAATTATATTCTCAATAGGTTAGTGTATTTAACCTGTGGTGATGAATCAACCAAGGTCCTGGGTAAGACATTTTCATGCAAATAGCGTTCTGCCTCCCATAAGATCCAAGATGGCATTCAACTAGTGTACCTGACTACTTTTGTTTCTTTTACATAAGCCATTCAGATAAGGGATCTCTTATAAAAAGTACAGGTAGTTCTGATAAATTTCTTTTCTTTCTAGATGCATGTCTGCTGCTATAAAAGATGCAGGTGTACAACCTGAAGAGATTTCCTATATCAACGCACATGCTACTTCCACCCCATTGGGAGATGCTGCTGAAAACCAAGCGATTAAGCGTCTCTTTAAAGACCATGCATATGCCCTTGCTGTTTCCTCAACGAAGGCAGCCACGGGACACCTGCTGGGAGCTGCAGGGGCAGTGGAGGCAGCTTTTACCACACTGGCTTGTTACCACCGAAGACTGCCACCTACTTTAAACCTGGACTGTACAGAACCAGAATTTGATCTCAATTATGTTCCACTAAAGGCTCAGGAATGGAAAACACAGAAAAGATGTATTGGGCTAACCAATTCCTTTGGTTTTGGTGGTACCAATGCCACACTTTGTATTGCTGGCATATAAAACAAGTCATTTTTAATTAAACATTGGCTTTTGAAATTCTATAAATGTAGAAGTGATATATACATGAATGCAGTTACATAACAATACCCAGATACCCTTTATTAGTGTTAGGATTTCTCAGTCTTGGCATAATTGGTATTTGGTGTAGCATAATTTTTGTTGGGGGAAATAATTTTTTTTTATTTTATTTTTTATGCTGGTTGTGGGGCTTGAATGCAGGGCCTGGGCACTGTCCCTTAGCTTTTCTTTCCTCAGGGCTAGCACTCTACTGTTTGGGCCACCAAAATGGAAAGCAAAAAGAACTGTCAGGTTGCGATTCTGTTTTGTATTCTAGCTTGTAATTGAAAGTAAATATTGGCCTTCCTTTCTCCCTGCTATGTGTACTTCATACTGGAGCATCAGATGATAGAGGATGGACCTAACAGCACTCTGGAAGCTGTTTAAGTAGGTCTCAATATTGTGATGTCTAGTCCCTCAAGCAGGTATCCATCTATATCTCTTTATCTGTATCTATCTTTGATCTCTCTAGTCAAATCCACATTTGAAGAAGAATGAGGGTTACTGGGAATGACTGTCACTTTTTTTTTTTTTTTTTTTGTCGGTTGGGGGGCTTGAATTCAGGGCCTGGGAGCTGTCCCTAAGCTCCTGCTCAAGGCTAGTGCTCTACCACTTGAGCTACAGCGCCACTTCCAGTTTTCTAGTGGTTTATTGGAGATAAAAGTCTCACAGACTTTCCTGCCCAGGCTGGTTTTGAACCACAATCCTCAGATCTCATCCTCCTGAGTAGCTAGGATTATAGGCGAGAGCCACCACCTTTTTTTTTTTAAATACCACTGACTGCATAGCAGGGAACACACCATAGGGACACTTGATTCCTTGAAGGAAATACAGGCAAAGGAAACAGCAAAAACTATAAGAAAAGATGGTCACATAGTTGCCTGGATGAAACAGGATGTTCTAACCTAAATTTCTTACAAAGTTGAAAATTGAGTGCTTTGTTTTGTTTTAATGTATCTTTTTGACAGTAGTAGGATTTGAACTCACAGCCTTCTTCTGTTACTTAGCAAATAAAAAAGTTCCTGTTTAAAAAAATGTTATGGGGACTGGGAAGGTGGCTCAGTGGTAGAGCTCTTGCCTTGCATGCCTGAGGCCCTGAGTTCGATTCCTTAGCACCACATAAGCAAAAAGAAAAAAGCCAGAAGTGGTGCTGTGGCTCAAGTGGTAGAGCACTAGCCTTGAGCTGAAGAGCTGAGGGACAGCACCCAGGCCCAGAGTTCAGGCCCCACGACCGGACCCCAAAAAAAACAAAACAAACAAACAAAAAAAACGTCATGGCTATAGCAGAAGCATACAACAAGGCTTTCCATTCAATTTTTAATTCTTCTTAAAACCATTCTTGGTTGATTGTTAACCTAATTACTACCAACACATTGCCTTATTTAATACAATAACATGAACTTTTTTTTAGAGGTACTGGGAATTGAACCAGGGCTTTGCACACAACAGGCAAGTACCATACTATTTCAGCCATGTCCTCCAGGCCAAAATGCACTCACACTAAGTGTATAGTCCAGTAACCTTTGATAAATATATAGACTTACGTATAACCATCACTTTGATCAAAGTAGAAACTTTTCATTTCTTAAAATTCCTTTGTGTACCTTTGCAGTCAATTCCCCAGCTCTAGACCATCATTGAAGAACTTCCTGATTGTGCAGATAGGATTTATTCTTTTCTAGAGTTTTATATAAGCGTAGGTAGATTTTGTGTATATACAGATTTTGTATAAATGTAGGTATATAGACTATATTCCTGTGTCTAGCTCCTTTCACAAGCTTAGCTGCTAAATCCAACAAATCATATGTGTTTTTGATTTTAACTTTATATATATTTTATCAACTTATATGGCTGTCATTGGGACTTACTAAAAGGAGAAAAGCTTTGTCAAGGTAAAAGAAAATAAGACTTTAACTTTTTTCTCTAAAATAAGCAGTTTGAAGCTTTGAACATCCACAGGGATGCTTGTAAGATTCCTTCTGTAGAGAGGAGAGGTTGAAAGGCTGCATTTCTCAGCTGGTTCAGGTCTCCTCTTTCTAGGTACATTGGCTAACCTCTTCGAGTTCCTTCCAACTGACATCTTGTTTTTTGATGTCTGTTTAAATATTATGCTAATACTCTCCATGTGAAATCCTTTGTCCACAGGATAGTTGAAAGCTCTGGCTCATGACCGGAATCTTTGCTTGCCAGGCTTAAATTGTCTACTTGAGATTAACAGCATAAATCCTCGTGTTTTATATAAGCTATTGTATCTTTTGTTTTTCTCCTTAAGAGTTTTAAGAATTATATTTTGGTTTAAAGCAAGAGGGAGATATTTGACTTTAAAAATGCATTCAGATAAAGAGGGAATTAGAATATTTTAATAACTAAACACAGGCATCATATTGCAGTTTAGAAAGATGAATGAATAATAATGTAGAATGCAAAGATCCAGGAGGTAATTCCCCAGACAAGGTATTACTGGAGGAGCATATTAAGTAGAAAAGAGCCACTGGTAAAAGAGAATGGAGAGAGAATCCTTCAAATCCACAAGCACTTTTCATCTATCAGATAACCTGCCTAGTAATTTTAGAATAGGCTCTGAAGCTGACTGTGTAGGTTGAGATATTTCACCTTTTCTAAGTTCTGAGATCTTTTAATTTATTATATAAACGCATATAAAACATACAGTACATCCTATATATAATACACACACACATATATTTACTTGAAGTGCTAGAGTTTGAACTCAGGGCTTTGTACTTGTTAAACAAGTGCTCTGCCACTTGAGCCTTGGCTTCCAGCCTTTTTGTTCTTTAGTTATTATTTTAAGATAAGGTCTGTGTCCAGCCTCATACTGACATCTTTCTAGGTTCTATCCCCAGCATGGCAAAAACAAAACAGACATAATCAGAACAACAAAACACAAAAACAGGATCAAAATGAGACTCACACATTAGAAAGTGTAGACCTGAGATTATCTAACAGACTGAAAATGCCCCTCTCACATAAATTGTCTGTTAAGAAAATAAGTCACTTTCCTGAAGAGTTTTTGGTATTTGCACTTTGCTGGTGCCAAGTATATGGTGTCATTGAACATGATCCTCCATCTTTGTGTTTCCTATATATTGGTAGAATTGGAGACTTGACTTAGTCAAATTTCACAAGAACACTTTCAAGGGTAGCATGTACTCCTGTCAGGCAGTACATAATGACTATCTTTATGTGAAAGATTTTTAAAAAATTAATTTTGACTCAGAATCACCAGTGAAGTTTTGCTCCTTGGAACAGTTGAAAGGCCTACCCACAATATTGTGAAATTATTCAAATATGTCTTTGATTACGTGACAGTTGCTAACAGATTGGCAGGACTTTAGAGAGGAGGAGTACAAAACTGACATATCCATTCTAACCACCTTAGATTATATCTGGAATCCATCCCCTTCATAAACTTCCAGACAACCATGTGACTATTCCCTTCCTTCCTTCAAGTTCTAGCTTGAATTGCTGTCTTGTCAACAACCCTGATCACTTTACTTAAATAGTCTATTTACCATCCCCTCCTCCATATTGCTGACTACTCTCACCACAATCCACTTTTTAGTTGTCCCCTCCTAACATACTTAAGTGTTTACTTATCTTTATTTTCTATTTGGCCTACTAGAAGATCTCTCTCTCTCCCTTTCTCTCTCTCTCTCTTTCTCTCTCTCTTCTCTCTTCTCCCTTCCCCCTCTCTCTTCCTTCCCTTCCCTTTTCCCTTTCCCCCTTCCTTTTTCCCTCCCCCCTCCCTCCCCTCCCCTGTTCTCCCCTTCCTTTCCCTTTCCTTTCCTTTTGCCAGTCCTGGAGTTTGAACTCAAGGCCTGAGCACTGACCCTGAGCTTTGTCGCTCAGGCTAGCACTATATTACTTAGCCACAGCTCCATATATATATATATAATAACATATATATATATATATGTTATTACCTTTAGGATGTCGTACAAAGGGGTTTCCATTCAACTTGTCAGTTTATAAGTACAATGCATTTTGATCACCATCTCCCATTTCATTATTCTCCATTTCTCCTAACCTAATCCTTCAATATTCCTAAGTCAGTTTCTTGATAAGCGGATTATTTGCTCACTAACCCACGTGCCTAAGTTTATGTGGCACAGATAAAGTTCAGTAACTGATAAATTGTTACATTTAGCCTAACAAAGAGAACACACACTTTCTATGAATGAAAGGTTCTCTGATATCTTTAGAGGAAGCAGGGAGGGCTATAGAGAAAGTCTGATTATAGAGAAAGATCTGATTCATGGTCCTCCATCTTACCTTGCATTGAACAGCTGCACCCAGCTGAACTGAGCTTGCTTCAGGTCACTCTAGTTTAGGTCAGGAGTATCTAAAGAACAAGGATTTTGTTGGTTTGCTTACTTTCTTGCCTATGAGACAGAGACAAGGCTTTCGATTTTTAAGGTTTCTTTACATTCTGACTCAGGGATGGGAGTGTGTCCTAAATGGTAGAGGGCTTACTGAGCAAGTATAAGGCTCATTTCAAACCACAATAGCACAAAAATAATAAATAATAAAAGCCTGGTTGCAGTGACTAATATTTGTAATCTTAGCTACTTGGGAAGCAGAGATTGAGAGGAACATGGTTTGATGCTATCTGGGGCAGAGTGAGACCAAATTTCCCAAATAAACTGGACATGGTGGTGGCTAGAAATATGTGATACTGGTAAAAAGCCTAATAGTAAAGCTCTACGTTTTGCTCTGATATTTTGTGAGCACTAAGATGCAGTATAAAAATAGAGATGCACAGTCAGGATCACAGCTTGAGACTGACCAGGAGGAAGAAATGTGAGATCCTATCTGAAAAATAACTATAGCAGAAAAAATAAGTTCGGGGGCGGGGGGTGTAAATAGCTCAAGTGGAAATGTATCTGCCTACCAAGCACAAGGCCTGAGTTCAAACCTCAGTACTTCCCCCCTCCCAATTCTGGCTCTTTTATTTCATCTCCA